TGGCGCGATCTCGGCTCACTGCAACCTCCTCCGTCTCCTGGGTTCAAGCAATTCTCCTGCCTCAGCCTCCCGAGTAGCTGGGACTACAGGCGTGCGCCACCATGCCCAGCTAATTTTTGTGTTTTTAGTAGAGACGGGGTTTCACCATGTTGACCAGGTTGGTCTCGATCTCTTGACCTCGTGATCCACCTGTCTTGGCCTCCCAAAGTGCTGGGATTATAGGCGTGAGCCACCGCGCCCGGCCTTATTTATTTTTTTTTTGAGACAGAATCTCGCTCTTTTGGTCAGGCTGGAGTGCAAAGGCATGATCTTGGCCCACTGCAATCTCTACCTCCTGGGATCAAGCGATTCTCCTGCCTCAGCCTCCCGAGTAGTTGGGATTATAGACGCGTGCCACCATGCCTGGCTAATTTTTGTATTTTTAGTAGAGATCCGGGTTTCACCATGTTGGCCAGGTTAGTCTTGAACTCCTGACCTCAGGTGATCCGTCCACCTCAGCCTCTCAAAGTGCTGGGATTACAGGCATGAGCCACCGCTGCCAGGGGAGACCTCAGGTTATTGCAGTCCCCTGCCTCCTTCCACCAAGTGCTCAGTTCCTAGAGTGAGGGTATCTCTCAGAGAGAAGCTTTCCACAGTCTTCCCACGCAGCTCCAGAGCCTTGGCGCCCAGATTTTGCCTGAGGAGAGAAGCAGGCCTTAAAACAGATAGCTCCTAATCTCTTCCCAATGGAAGTGACTTCATTTGCAACACAGTGTGGAGAAATTTATGCCTAAGGGCAATCTGGAGATGGGAAGGTTTTGGTGAGACGCAATTGGGAGATCAGTGGTCTTGGAGATGCAGCCTAGACTGCAAGGCTCCTGGTTTGCTGGGAAGAACTGGGGAATAAGACAGCTGGGAGAAGCCCTCCCAGGATCAGAAGGATCAAATATTGACCACAGGCCAGGCGCAGTGGCTCAAGCCTGTAATCCCAGCACTTTGGGAGGCCGAGGCGGGTGGATCACGAGGTCAAGAGATCGAGACCAACCTGGTCAACATGGTGAAACCCCGTCTCTCCTAAAAATACAAAAATTAGCTGGGCATGGTGGCGCGTGCCTGTAATCCTAGCTATTTGGGAGGCTGAGGCAGGCACATGAACCCGGGAGGTGGAAGTTGCAGTGAGCTGAGATCATGCCACTGTACTCCAGCCTGGGTGACAGAGTGAAACTATGTCCTGTCACAAAAAAAAAAAAACAAACACTGACCACAGACCTGTAAGATGATAGATGTTCCATCTGCCCTGGTTCTATCATTATACATTGCATATTCATGCATCACAATACCACGGATAACCCTAACATATGTACAAGTATTATGAATCAATAAAAAACAATTTGAAAAGTAAAGTATGTGGCAGAGGTAGAAAAAAATGCTTTCCTCCAAACAGCCACAATTTGATTGTATTGGTTTATAGAGCAAGAGCAAGTTATGCTTCAGTGCATTGTTGAAAATAATAGAGCAATAAGCCACAATTAGTGGAACTTCATAGCTGGGTGTGGTCAAGGAGAGAAAAGAAGAGAACGCTACCAAAACCACTGTCACCCCAGGGTGAGTATGGGCATACCCAAAGTTGCACCTCCCTGAGGAGCAATATCATAGGCCTTAACAATCTTCAGGAGAAATAGATTTCACTCAAATAATCCAGCCAGGCACTAAACAAATAAATAACAATTAGCCCTGCAGAAGGGTACCCGTCCCTAGACTTGCTACAGTATATTATCTAAAATGTCCAGTTTCCAACAAAAAATTGTGAGACATACAAAGAAACAGGAAAATATGACACATACACTGGGAAAAAGCTGGCAACAGAAATTGCCTGTGAGACAAGGGGCCAGATTTAATCAAAGATTTCAAACTAGCCATTATATATGTATATATTCACAGTATTAAAGGAAAGGATGTTATTGTTGAATCAAAGAATATCAATAAAGATATAGGAATTATAAAAAATGAATAAAATCAAAATTCTGGGGTTGAAAGTACAATAACAAATTTAAAAATTCACTAGAGGGCCGGGCGCAGTGGCTCACGCCTGTAATCCCAGCACTTCGGCTTCCGGCAGATCACAAGGTCAAGAGATTGAGGCCATCCTGGCCAATATGGTGAAACCCCGTCTGTACTCAAAATACAAAAATTAGCTGGGCGTGGTGGCACGCGCCTGTAGTCCCAGCTACTCGGGAGGCTGAGGTGGAAGAATCGCTTGAACCCGGGAGGCGGAGGTTGCAGTGAGCCGAGATTGCGCCACTGCATTCCAGCCTGGCGCCTGGCCACAGAGCGAGACTCTGTCTCAAAAAAAAAATTCACTAGAGGGACTCAATAATAGATTTGAACTGAGTGAAGAAAGAATTAGTGAATTTGAAAATAGATTGATAGGGTGGGCACGGTGGCTCACGCCTAATTATATAGGTCAGGAATTCGAGCCTAGTTTGACCAACATGGTGAAACCCCATCTCTACTAAAAATACAAAAATTAGCCAGGCAAGGCGACATGCGCCCATAATCCCAGCACTTTGGGAGGCCAGGAAGGCAGATCACGAGGTCAGGAGATCCAGACCATCCTCATCAACACCGTGAAAGCCCATCGCTACTAAAAAATACAAAAAAGGGCCGGGCGCGGTGGCTCACGCCTGTAATCCCAGCACTTTGGGAGGCCGAGGCGGGTGGATCACAAGGTCAAGAGATCGAGACCATCCTGGTCAACATGGTGAAACCCCGTCTCTACTAAAAAACTACAAAAAATTAGCTGGGCATGGTGGCGCGTGCCTGTAATCCCAGCTACTCAGGAGGCTGAGGCAGGAGAATTGCCTGAACCCAGGAGGCGGAGGTTGCGGTGAGCCGAGATCGCGCCATTGCACTCCAGCCTGGGTAACATGAGCGAAACTCCGTCTCAAAAAAAAAAAAAAAAAAAAAAGTACAAAAAATTAGCTGGGCGTGGTAGCGTGCGCCTGCAGTCCCAGCTACTCAGGAGAATCGCTTGAACCTGGGAGGCGGAGATTCCAGTGAGAAGACCACGCCACTGTACTCCAGCCTGGGTGACAGATCGACACTCCGTCTCAAAAAAAAAAAAAAAAAGTATGAATGCATATTTTTCTCTTTCTCTTAACTGAAACAATTGTATAAAATAGCATGTATATAATGTTCCGGGGCCGGGCGCGGTGGCTCACGCCTGTAATCCCAGCACTTTGGGAGGCTGAGGTGGGCTGATCACAAGGTCAGGAATTCGAGATCAGTTTGACCAACATGGCGAAACCTCGTCTCTACTAAAAATACAGAAATTGGCCGGGTTAGATGGCATGCTCCTGTAATCCCAGCATCCCGGGAGGCCAGACGGGCAGATCACGAGGTTAGGAGATCCCGACCATCCTGGCTAACACCATGAAACCCAGTCTGTACTAAAATATACAAAAAATTAGCTGAGCGTGGTAGCGCGCACCTGTAGTCCCAACTATTCCGGAGAATTGCTGGAACCTGGGAGGAGGCTCCAGTGAGAAGAGACCACGCCACTACCCTCTAGCCTGGGCGACAGAGCGAGACTCCGTCTCAAAAAAAAAAAAAAAAAAAAGTATGAATGCATATTTCTCTCCTCTTAACTGATTTAAGAAACAATTGTATAAAATTGCCGGGCGCTGCGGTGCGTGCCTGTGGTCCCAGCTACTCCGGACGCTGAGGTGGGAGGATCGTTTGAGCCCAGGAATTCTGGTTTGTAGTGCGCTATGCCTATCGGGTGTGCGCACCAAGTTCGGCATCAAAATGGTGACCTCCCGGGAGCGGGGGACCACCAGGTTTCCTAAGGAGGGGTGAGCCGGCCCAGGTTGGAAACAGCAAATCAGAACTCCGGTGTTGATTTGTAGTCGGATCGTTCCTGTGAATATACACTACATTCCAGCCTGGGCAACATAGCGAGACCCCGTCTCTTAAAAATAAATAAATAAATATTAAAAAAAGAAAGAAGCAATTGTATAAAATAGCATGTATATAATGTTCCAGGGCCGGGCTTGGTGGCTCACGCCTGTAATCCCAGTACATTGGGAGGCTGAGGCAGGCGAATCACAAGGTCAGGAATTTGAAACCAGTTTAACCAACATGGCGGAATCCCGTCTCTACTAAAAATACAGAAATTAGCGGGGTTAGGTGGCATGCGGCTGTAATCCCAGCAACCCGGGAGGCCAGACGGGCGGATCACGAGGTCAGGCGATCCAGACCATCCTGGCTAACACCGTGAAACCCAGTCTCTACCAAAATGTACAAAAAATTAACTGGGCGTGGTAGCGTGCGCCTGTAGTCCCAGCTACTCCGGAGGCTGAGGTGGGAGGATCGCTTGAGCCCAGGAATTCTGGGTTGCAGTGCTCTATGCCTATAGGGTGTCCACACCAAGTTCGGCATCAATATGGTGACCTCCCGGGAGCGGGGGACCACCAGGTTGCCTAAGTAGGGATGAACTTGCCCAGGTCGGAAATGTAGGATCCTGCCTGTGAATATCCACTGCACTCCACCCTGGGCAACATAGTGAGACCCTGTCTCTAAATAAATAAATATAATGTTTTTTTAAAAAATAAACAATTGTTTGAAATAGCATGTATATAAGGTTCCGGGGCTGGGCGCAGTGGCTCACGCCTGTAATCCTAGCACTTTGGGAGGCCGAGGTGGGCGGATCACAAGGTCAGGAATTCCAGATCAATTTGACCAACATGGCGAAACCCCGTCTCTACTAAAAATACAGAAATTAGCCGGGTTAGGTGGCATGCGCCTGTAATCCCAGCATCCGTGGAGGCTAGACGGGCAGATCACGAGGTCAGGAGATCCAGACCATCCTGGCTAACACCGTGAAGCCCCGTCTCTACTAAAATATACAAAAAATTAGCTGGGCATAGTAACGCGCGCCTGTAGTCCCAGCTACTTGGGAGAATCGCTGGAACCTGGGAGGGGGTTCCACTGAGAAGAGACCACGCCACTGCCCTCCAGCCTGGGCGACAGAGCGAGACTCCGTCTCAAAAAAAAAAAAAAAAAAAAAAAAGTATGAATGCATATTTCTCTCCTTCTCTTAACTGATTTAAGAAACAATTGTATAAGATTGCCGGGCGCTGCGATGCGTGCCTGTAGTCCCAGCTACTCCGGAGGCTGAGGTGGGAGGATCGTTTGAGCCCAGGAATTCTGGGTTGTAGTGCGCTATGCCTATCCAGTGTCCGCACTAATTTCGGCATCAGTATGGTGACCTCCCGGGAGCGGGGGACCACCAGGTTTCCTAAGGAGGGGTGAGCCGGCCCAGGTCGGAAACAGCAAGTCAAAACTCCGGTGTTGGTTTGTAGTTGGGGATCGTTCCTGTGAATATATACTACACTCCAGCCTGGGCGGCATAGCGAGACCTGGTCTCTAAAATAAATAAATAAATAAAAATTAGAAGGAAAAAAAGAAACAATTGTAGGGCGCAGTGGCTTATGCCTGTAATCCCAGCACTTTGGGAGGCTGAGGCGGGCGGATCACAAGGTCAGGAATTCGAGACCAGTTTGACCAACATAGTGAAACCCCGTCTTTACTAAAAATACAAAAATTGGCCGGGTACGGTGGCTTATGCCTGTATTCCCAGCACTTTGAGAGGCCAAAGCGGGTGGATCACCTGAGATCAGGAGTTCGAGACCATCCTGACCAACATGGTGAAATCCTTGTCTCTTAAAAAAAAAAAAAATTAGCTGAGCGAGCTGGCATGCGACTATAATCCCGGCTACTCAGGAGGCTGAGGCGGGAGAATCACTTGAACCTGGGAGGTGGAGATTGCTGTGAGCCGAGATCACCCCGCTGCACTCCAACCTGGGTGACAGGGCGAGACCGTCTCCAAAAAAAAAAAAATAATGTTCTGTTAATATGAAGTATGTGTAATACATTTGCCAATAACAGCACAAAGGAACTGGGTGGGAGCAAAGCTCTATGAGCTGAAGAAATGGCTACAGATCGTAAAATAACAATTTTTTTTTTTTTTTTTTTTTGAGACGGAGTTTCACTCATGTTACCCAGGCTGGAGCGCAATGGCGCGATCTCAGCTCACCGCAACCTCCGCCTCCTGGGTTCAGGAAATTCTCCTGCCTCAGCCTCCTGAGTAGCTGGGATTACAGGCACGCGCCACCATGCCCAGCTAATTTTTTGTATTTTTAGTAGAGACGGGGTTTCACCATGTTGACCAGGATGGTCTCCATCTCTTGACCTCGTGATCCACCCGCCTCGGCCTCCCAAAGTGCTGGGATTACAGGCTTGAGCCACTGCGCCCGGCCCAACAATGTTTTATTGGGTATGTAAGTTTAATAGATGGATCTGTAATAGATGTATGTATAACAATAAAGCCATGAAAAAAGGGGAAAAGGAATGGAGTTATATAGGTATAACTCCTATATAGCTATATATCACTAGAATTAAGCTAATATAAACTAGAAGCTGATTCTTTTTTTTTTTTTTTTTGAGACGGAGTCTTGCTCTGTCACCCAGGCTGGAGTGCAGTGGTATGATGTCAGTTCACTGCAACCTCCACCTTCTTGGGTTCAAACAGTTCTCCCATCTCAGCATTCTGAGTAGCTGGGATTACAGGTGTGCACCACCACGCCCAGCTAGTTTTTTTTTTTTTTTTTTTGAGATGGAGTCTTGCTCTGTCTCCCAGGCTCTAGTGCAGTGGCACAATATCGGCTCACTGCAACCTCTGCCTCCCAGGTTCAAGAGATTCTCCTGCCTCAGCCTCCCGAGTAGCTGGAACTACAGGAGCATGCCACCATGCTTGGCTAAATTGTGTATTTTTAGTAGAGATGGTGTTTCACCATATTGGTCAGGCTGGTCTTGAACTCCTTACCTCATGATCTGCCTACCTCAGCTCCCAAAGTGCTGGGATTACAGGTGTGAGCCACTGAGCCTGGCCTAATTTTTGTATTTTTTAGTAGAGACGGGGTTTCACCATGTTGGCCAGGCTGGTCTTGAACTGCTGACCTTAGGTGATCTGCCCACCTCAACCTCCCAAAGTGAGGAGATTATAGGTGTGAACCACCTTGCCTGGCCAATCTGAAGCTGATTCTGATATGTTGAGATTATATAATAAATCCCAGAGCAACCACTTAAAAAACAAAAGCCTCAAAATTTAAATGTTTCATCAGAAACATTTAAATTTCTTATTTATTTATTTATTTATTTATTTTTTGAGTTGGAGTTTCGCTGCTCTTGTTACCCAGGCTGGAGTGCAATGGCGTGATCTTGGCTCACCGCAACCTCTGCCTCCTGGGTTCAGGCAATTCTCCTGCCTCAGCCCCCTGAGTAGCTGGGATTACAGGCACACGCCACCATGCCCAGCTAATTTTTTGTATATTTAGTAGATGGGGTTTCACCATGTTGACCAGGATGGTCTCGATCTCTTGACCTCGTGATCCACCCGCCTCAGCCTCCCAAAGTGCTAGGATTACAGGCATGAGCCACTGCGCCTGGCTCATTTAAATTTCTTTAATAATTATTTCACTAGTTTTTCAGAAAACATTCACTTAAATTAGAAAAAATCATTTACTTAAATTAGGAGAAAGTAGTAAAGGAGGAATAGAGAAGTAAAGGAGGAATAGAGAAGTAAAAAAGATGTGAAATAGGCTGGGGTGGGTGGCTTCTGCCTCTAATCCCAGCACTTTGGGAGGCCAAGGTGGGCAGATCACCTGAGGTCAGGAGTTCTAGACCAGCCTGGCCAACACGGTGAAACCCCATCTCTACTAAAAATACAAAAATTAGCCTGGTGTGGTGGCGCGTGCCTGTAATACCAGTTTCTCAGGAGGCTGAGGCAGGAGAATCACTTGAACCCAGGAGGCAGATGTTGCAGTGAGCTGAGATCACACCACTGCACTCCAACCTGGGTGACAGAGCGAGACTCCGTTTCCCCCCCACCAAAAAAAAAAAGATGTGAAACATATACCAAAAAAGAGTAAAATGGCAGTTGAGTGCTAAGTAATTAGATAACTTCAATGAAATGGACAAACTCCTAGAAAGACATAAAGCACCAAAATTGACCCAAGAAGAGACACCATTTGAATAGACCTATAACAAGTGAAGATACTAAATTAGTAATTGAGGGGACTGGTGGGGTAAATTGCTCTTGGGAAACAGTAGTATGGCATTGGGCTGCAAGATTGGCCTGTCTACCCTCAACAGTGACCTGGCCAATGTAGGGGTCAAGTGCCTCCAGATGCTAGACCCTGGGGCCGATTATCTGCATCTGGATGTAATGGACGGGCATGCACATGATGGTGTCCAAGCCAGAACAGTGGGTAAAGCCAATGGCTATAGCAGGAGCCAATCAGTACACCTTTCATCTTGAGGCTGCTGAGAACCCAAGGGCGTTGATTAAAGACATTTGGGAAAATGGGATGAAGGTTGCTCTTGCCATCAAACCAGGAACCTCAGTTGAGTCTTTGGCACCATGAGCTAATCAACTAGATATGGCCTTGGTTATGACAGTGGAACCAGGTCTTGGAGGGCATAAATTCATGGAACATATGATGCCAAAGATTCATTGGTTGAGGACCCAGTTCCCGTCTTTGGATATTGAGGTCGCTGTGGAGTAGATCCTGACACTGGCCGTTATTAGTGTGTAGAGGAGCTAACATGATTGTGTCTGGCAGTGCTATTATGAGTGAAGACCCTAGATCTGTGGTCAACCTGTTAAAAAATGTATGGTCAGAAGCTGCTCAGAAACATTCTTGTGATCCATGAAACCATAAGCCCAGTTCATGAAGTCTCCTTTTTACTGGGAAACAGGAATATTGACTACCACATCGTAATGCGATTGGAGCCATTCTGCTTTTTTGAGCAGTTATTCATTCCAGCGATTATAGTGGATTGAGCAGAATATTCTAAGAGGTTAGAAATGGGTGTGTATAACTATTTTTTTTTTTTTTTTTTTTTGAGACGTAGTTTCACTCTTGTTACCCAGGCTGGAGTGCAATGGCGCGATCTCGGCTCACCGCAACCTCCGCCTCCTGGGTTCAGGCAATTCTCCTGCCTCAGCCTCCTGAGTAGCTGGGATTACAGGCACGCACCACCATGCCCAGCTAATTTTTTGTATTTTTAGTAGAGACGGGGTTTCACCATGTTGACCAGGATGGTCTCGATCTCTTGACCTCGTGATCCACCCGCCTCGGCCTCCCAAAGTGCTGGGATTACAGGCTTGAGCCACCACGCCCGGCAACTATTTTTAGTAATACAGTTTAATGATTAGTGAGTGAGATATGGTTTTTATTGAGAGCCTTGATTTTTATAAAGAGTAAAAATATGGCTGCAAACAGAAAAGTATCTTTTTTTTTAATATATTCTTTTGCTTGGATTTTTTTTTCCTCCATTTTATTGCATTTTAGGTTTTGGGGTACATGTGAAGAACATGCAAGATTGTTGCATAGGTACACACGTGGCAGTGTGATTTGCTGCCTTCCTCCCCATCACCTACATCTGGCATCTCTCCCCTTGCTATCTCTCCCCAACTCCCCACCCCCCACCATCCCTCCCCTATTTCCCCCCAACTGACCCCAGTGTGTAGTCAGAAAAGTATCTTAATGCCTAAGGAGGGCATATTAGCTACACTATAAAAAACAATTTTTTTTTCTGCATTTCTGAAAAGAATTTTGTTGTTTTTCATCTGTTTTCCAAAAGCAAAGGAAGCCTTTTTTTCTATTTTATGTTATGTGTGATTTGTTTCTATGCTTGGTAATATGAGCCAAATGGAATTAAAAAATATAAATTTGGGTGGGATTGTGTACCATTAAAAAATAAATAAATAAATAAGTAATTGGCCGGGCGCGGTGGCTCAAGCCTGTAATCCCAGCACTTTGGGAGGCCAAGGCGGGCAGATCATGAGGTCAAGAGATCGAGACCAATCTGGCCAACTCAGTGAAACCCCGCCTTTACTAAAAATACAAAAAAATTAGCCAAGCGTGGTAGCACGCACCTGTGGTCCCAGCTACCCGGGAGGTTGAGGCGGAAGAATCGCTTGAACCCAGGAGGCAGAGGTTGCAGTGAGCCGAGATTGTGCCACTGCACTCCAGCCTGGTGACAGAGCAAGACTCCGTCTCAAAAAAAAAAAAAGTAATTAAAAGAGAGAGAGAGAGAGAGAGAGAGACCTGGGCACAATGGCTGTTGCCTGTAACTGTTGGTAAGAACGTAAAATGGTGCAGCCAGTTTGAAAAACAAAGTAGTTGGCCAGGCGTGGTGGATTGTACTTGTAATCCCACCACTTTGGGAGACCAAGGAGGGA